TTAGTTAGGTTACACAAAGAGTATGTTTATCTTTAAACACAACCAGATCTGAGGCTGGTGGCCATAGTAAATATTGTTCGTCTTGGTAAGATCTTTCAAATGACCCTACAAACATAACTATTGGAGCCGGGTACCATTCTGCAAAAAAGTATGTTTATCTTCGAACACAACCAGATCTGAGGCTGGTGGCCATAGTAAAAGTTGTTCGTCTTGGTAAGACCTTTCAAACGATACTAGACACATATCTATTGGAGCCGGGTACCATTTTGCCCATTGTCCTTTTCTTATTTACAACACGCGTACCTATACTCGCTCAGTCGATCATCGTCGCAATCAAGGTTTATTGTTCCAACAGCACTGTTATTCGTCTTTATAATGGAAAATCGTATATTTAGAAATAATATTTAATTGTAGTAATTTAAATAATTAAAAATAACAGCATTTTTTAAAAATAAATTTGAAATACTTATGGCAAAAACATTATTTTAGCTAATAAAACATTAACTTTACTTCTAGGCCAGTAGAATTAAACACAAAAATTGATTAAATCGGAAATAATTCCTACAAAAGATTTTTTTGCTTTAATGGCTTCATTGGTTGTCCATTAAGACTCTCCTAAGTTTTCGACTTCGACGGAGTTGTGCTTAAGTGGTGGGGGCCACCGAAAGGGGCGTTTTTTCGGTTTTCCGGTTATACCGCGTAAAGGACTTACCCTATCGAAAAGTGGTCTTCATGACGGTTAAAGGGCACTTAATCCTGCATTGACTAAGACCAAATTCATATGTTTTGGACAAACCGTTCTCGCGCTAAAGTTCGGCAAAGTAGAAAATATACGTATAATTAATGACCCTCTCCACGTCCAATGGCTTGTTACCCACATGCTTCCAAGCCTTGTAAAGGGTCGCCTTAACCAGTGTTAACCTAACAAGGCTCACGAGTTTGATTCGCTTATCCTTGTTCGTCCCAGCCGTTCCTTAACTGCGGTTTCTGCACCTCTTCCTGGCACTCTCCTGAACGATTCCGAGCTACCGGTCTTTGTCCATGGGACTCGAATGCTATTGATTACTCGAAGTGCTTGGGGAAGAATCTTAAAGAATAAGCATTGCTGAAATCGAGAAGATGTTGGCTGAAGATTAAGATTCGCTTTGATGTTAATTTTTTACTGTTTGCACTGATTAATATAAAATCAAAANCAGGTACCTTAGTAAACTTAAAGCTTAGTTACAACAGGATATTGCAAAATTCCCACGGAAACGGGAGTTAGCGGGAAAAACATTTGTATGAAAAAATCTGAACCGCGTAAGATAGATGAAGGGGGGGTAAAACGAGATCCACGCGTACGAAGTCGCGGGCGGCCGCTAGTCTGAAATATATTCCGACGAACAATCTCTTATCAACATGTAAGATCCTGTTCACCGCGGCAAGCACCCCGCGCACCGCAGTCTAACATCAGACACGAGTTTGTATTCCGCAGTGACGGTCGATTTTGGAGGTTAAAACTATTTCTTTATTCCGAGTCATATCTACAGGCTGTTAGGTAAATGGGTATATGAGCCGAGACTAGCCCATGTTAACATACTCATATAAATACTATAGTGGTGTCAGAAAGTGGATATCGTAATATTTAATAAATAATATTTTCCCATACAAAACTAAATAAATAATTATTATTTGAATTTTTGGACAGCCCTATGATCGCGCATCTCCCTCCTAGGTCAAACGTGGTCAAACGGTATTTCATTTTATTTTTAGACAAATATTCAAATAATAATAAGTATTTTGAATGTACATATGTAGGTGTAGGTATATCCTCCTACCTCTATATTTATTTTACTTTACTCAGTGACCTACACTATTAACTTACCTGAAAGTCATCAAATAAATCTCGTGATGCAGCAGAAGCAGCTTTTTGCTTTTTAGGAAAAAGGTTTGATAGTGCCCGAGCCTTGTTTATTCTTAACTGCCTAATTGTTTCTAAGCCACAACACTCGCAATAATTGAAATTATCTGCAAAAATAGTCCAGTCAATAAAGCATTATAGATGGAAAACTGTAGAACACAATTTCTGACTTCAGGACTTTATTTAGACTAGTTAGGAGGTGAACATAGCAAAAGTCCCCGCCCTTAGCCCTTGAGCCGACGGGGAGAGGTGGGTTTAAAGGTGCCACTTTTCGGTTTTTCGCTTAATCCTCGGAAACTATGCGTCCTAGTGACATGACTACTTTGAACCAAAAAAAGCATATTCAATTTGCTACAGATGAGATAGACAAGTTTTTCTATAAATTGTATAGTTTTCGCGGCATCTGCTCTAGAAGGTCTGTAATATTGGAAATTTTATTTTTGTCGTACATGTTCCCATCAGGATAAAATCGACTAAATCAACATTGAGCAATCATTCTAGACATGCGGGAGCATGTTAAGCCTAGTTCCAGCGAGGGGACTACACTGTGCGTATATTTAGACGAATCACTTTGAGCCACTTTTGAATCCTCATCACTCAAAAACTACTGGGCATTAACACTTCAAATTTGGCTCATGTGTTGAAACTTACAAGATATACATCAGTTTCAAATTTCATAAATATACCTCAAACGGTTCTTTAGATACTGACGTCCAAAAATCTACATGTCTGACCTATAGACCAAATTCTAACCACTTCCAGATGACTTCGAAGGTTCAAATTTGAACAATCAAGGCATCCAGAAAGGTAGTTATGTAAATACAAAGGAACAAATAAAAAACCAGTAAATTTTAACATTTCACATATGATAGATAGATAGTAGTGCTCTAAATATCGATTTTTGAACGTCAATACCTAAATAACCGTTTGAGGTATATTTATGAAATTTGAAGCTGATGTACATCTTGCAAGTCTCAATACATGAGCCAAATTTGAAGTGTTAATGCACAGTAGTTTTTGAATGATGAGGAGCCAAAAGTGGCTTTAATTGGTTCGTCTAAATATACGCACGATGCAGTCCCCTCCATGGAACTAGGGTTAACATGCTCCCGCATGTCTATAGTGTTTGCTCAATGTTGATTTAGTCGATTTTCTTCTGAAAGGAACATGTAAGACAACAATAAAATTTCCAATTTTACAGACCTTCTAGAGCAGATGCCGCAAAAACTATACAAGATATAGAAAAACTTGACGGTCTCACCTGTAGCAAATTGAATAAGCTTTTTTTGGTTCATAGTAGTCATGTCACTAGGACGCATAGTTTCCGAGGATTAAGCGAAAAACCGAAAAGTGGTACCTTTAAACCCCCCTCTCCCCGCCGGCTCAAGGGCTAAGGGCGGGGACTTTTGCTATGTTCACCTCCTAACTAGGCTAAATAAAGTCCCGAGGTCAGAAATTGTGTTCCACGGATTTCTCTCTACACCGCGTTAAGGCATTCATTGACTGGACTAAAATATATTACACAATTATTTATATTATGAACCAGCCGAGCTTAACCCTACAGTGGTCGCGCGGATTACACCCGTAATCCACTCGTGCAAATTGTCGAATATTTTGAAATCGGTCAACGCGATCGTTTTGATCGGCTTTTACCCGTGGTCCCCCCAACATGTCCCCCTGGTGGGTCCACGGGTAATTTTTTTTACCCGTTGTCCCACCGTTCTGAACAGTGTTTGCCAGTGGGTCTACGGATAATTAATTTATTTTAACCATGGTCCCACCGCACTAAGTGGCAAACATTGCATGTCACCTATGTCTGGGATGAAATATCAAACGCCGAGTAGGATATGAGTGACTTTAACCCACATGTGTGATGTGAAGATATTATAAAGATATTATGGTGCCGTACCTACCTATAATTATTTTGTATATTAATTATAGATTTTTTTATAATATTATAGATAACTAGGCTAGGTGACAAGCAATATTTGCCACTTAGTGTGGTGGGACCATGGTTAAAATAAAGGGGACATGTTGGGGGGACCACGGGTAAAAGCCGTATTAAATAGTTCATTTAATGTGAATAATCATGTATATTTGGGGATTTTTATAATTTACTAAATAAAACATTTCAAAACCTTTAGTACAAATTTTATTTATCCTTCATTGTACCCACAATAATTTATATCGTGGAAAACAAACAGCACATTATACAACACACAATAGATGGGTCAGTTTTAGATCAAATATGCCTTATAGTTTTCACAAATAGCAGATTATTACAATCCAAAAGAATAAGAATAAATTTATTACTTAATAAAAGTTAGCCTAAATACATTTGGATTCACTTACTTAAAGTTACTGTGCAGAGGTAAAATTATTAATACCAGGCCTCCGTCACTCGCCTATGCCGGCCGAGATAATTACCAACAGCGCGCGACAACTTCAAGTTGCAAATCAGTCATGGCCGCCACGCGCCTGTGTACACACTGTAACACTTTTTTTTTGGCGAGATTNAGGCCCTGACGAATGCCTCAGTTCTTGTGGCAGACATGACAGCATGGAGGGATCCTATAACATTCGGAATACCAGCTATAGTGATATTGTTTGTTGGAGCATGGAGTGATAAAACAGGAAACAGGAAATACTTATTACTTATACCTGTCATTGGAGAAATTGGATCATTAGTAGGAATTCTTGCCGGCACGTACTTCTTTCTGGAGTGGCCCTTGTGGGTGATGGCTCTAATAGAAGCAAGCTCATCCACGTTTACTGGAGGTCTGTCTGTAATTTTGATGGGGTCATACAGTTATTTGGCTGACGTCACCACCCCCGAGTCGCGTACCTTCAGAATGGGTGTAGCGGGTGTTTTAGTGTCATTGGGTATACCTTTGGGAACTGCAATAAGTGGCATACTAACTGTAAATCTCGGCTACTTTGGAATATTCGGAATTTCACTGGCTATGTATATGTTTTGTTTCTTCTACGCAATGATAAGAATTCAAGATGTCAGAAGAGTGGAAATTGAAGGAAGTTTCTTTCATAAACTGATAAGCTTTTTTCACCCGAAGAATGTTTGGGACACACTATCGTTAGTGTTCACAAGTCGTGGGAAGCAGCTATTGAAGATTACTTTAGTTATTTGGGCCCACATTGTTATACAAGGTCCTGTTTCAGGTAAGACCTATAGTTAAGCAAACAAAAGTACCAACAATTTAAACTACATTTAAAAACCCAGTAGGTTCCTAATTCGATTCTATATCTTCATATTTAATTTAATATTTATCACCTCCTTCGTCAATTATGAAACTGACTTGAATGAACGTTTGGTGGACTAAAGAACACTAGACATGAATGTCATATACCTACATATTTTTTTTTATTATATTTAATTGTCTATTAATTTAAACAATAACAAACCATATTATTTACTTTCATTGGAAACGAAGCCTGTCAAGATTAGTCATAAGAGACATTATACATAATTATATATTAACAAAGTTACTAATCATATAAGTAACATCATACAATTAATAGCATTTTTTTTATTTTGTTTGTAAATACTCAATACGTAATCCTAAGAATAGTGAAATGGTAAAGCTTCTAGTGTATACAAACATACCCATTATTTCTAACATAAACACACTTATGCACTTTTCAGGTGAATCAGCATGCCTGTACCTCTACACATTGAATAGGTACCAGATGGATCTAGTGGATCTAACTCTGTATATAACGTTTGCTTTGATCATGGGAATCGTCGGTAAGATTTTATATTTAATAAAAAAAATAGAAATAAATATTTATATTCACAGTGTTCATTTCTACGGTTCCTTACTTTAAAAGGTAAAAAAGAACCTTCAACTTCTGTCTGTCCAACCAATTTGCTGACCAAAAACAATATACAGGGTGTTAGGTAAATGGGTATATGAGCCGACACTAGCCCATGTTAACATATTGTGCATATAAAATGGTTATGGTGAAGTCAGAAGTTTGATATCATCATTTTATTTTTTAAATTTTCATACAAAATACATTTTATAAAATCCGATTTGCATGAAAAATAAAATAATTAAAATGAAGATATCAATTTTCTGACTTCACCATACCATTTATATAACCATGTTAACATGGGCTAGTGTCGGCTCATATACCCATTTACCTAACACCCTGTATATATTGATCACAAAATCTAAAAACTGTTTGTATGCGATTTCCGGTATCGCAAAAGTATTACGATAGAGAATAATACAAAGTAATAAAATTCATCTGATTTATAGGGGCATGTTTGGAGAAATTTATCAAATAATAAAAAAAAACACGAATTTANTGATATTGTTTGTTGGAGCATGGAGTGATAAAACAGGAAACAGGAAATACTTATTACTTATACCTGTCATTGGAGAAATTGGATCATTAGTAGGAATTCTTGCCGGCACGTACTTCTTTCTGGAGTGGCCCTTGTGGGTGATGGCTCTAATAGAAGCAAGCTCATCCACGTTTACTGGAGGTCTGTCTGTAATTTTGATGGGGTCATACAGTTATTTGGCTGACGTCACCACCCCCGAGTCGCGTACCTTCAGAATGGGTGTAGCGGGTGTTTTAGTGTCATTGGGTATACCTTTGGGAACTGCAATAAGTGGCATACTAACTGTAAATCTCGGCTACTTTGGAATATTCGGAATTTCACTGGCTATGTATATGTTTTGTTTCTTCTACGCACTGATAAGAATTCAAGATGTCAGAAGAGTGGAAATTGAAGGAAGTTTCTTTCATAAACTGATAAGCTTTTTTCACCCGAAGAATGTTTGGGACACACTATCGTTAGTGTTCACAAGTCGTGGGAAGCAGCTATTGAAGATTACTTTAGTAATTTGGGCCCACATTGTTATACAAGGTCCTGTTTCAGGTAAGACCTATAGTTAAACAAAAGTACCAACAATTTAAACTACATTTAAAACCCAGTAGGTTCCTAATTCGATTCTATATCTTCATATTAATATTTATCACCTCCTTCGTCAATTATGAAACTGACTTGAATGAACGTTTGGTGGACTAAAGAACACTAGACATGAATGTTATATACCTACATATTTTTTTTAATTATATTTAATCGTCTATTAATTTAAACAATAACAAACCATATTATTTACTTTCATTGGAAACGAAGCCTGTCAAGATTAGTCATAAGAGACGTTATACATAATTATATATTAACAAAGTTACTAATCATGTAAGTAACATCATACAATTAATAGCATTTTTTTTATTTTGTTTGTAAATCGTATATACTCAATACGTAATCCTAAGAATAGTGAAATGGTAAAGCTTCTAGTGTATACAAACATACCCATTATTTCTAACATAAACACACTTATGCACTTTTCAGGTGAATCAGCATGCCTGTACCTCTACACATTGAATAGGTACCAGATGGATCTAGTGGATCTAACTCTGTATATAACGTTTGCTTTGATCATGGGAATCGTCGGTAAGATTTTATATTTAATAAAAAAAATAGAAATAAATATTTATATTCACAGTGTTCATTTCTACGGTTCCTTACTTTAAAAGGTAAAAAAGAACCTTCAACTTCTGTCTGTCCAACCAATTTGCTGACCAAAAACAATATACAGGGTGTTAGGTAAATGGGTATATGAGCCGACACTAGCCCATGTTAACATATTGTGCATATAAAATGGTTATGGTGAAGTCAGAAGTTTGATATCATCATTTTATTTTTTAAATTTTCATACAAAATAAATTTTATAAAATCCGATTTGCATGAAAAATAAAATAATTAAAATGAAGATATCAATTTTCTGACTTCACCATACCATTTATATAACCATGTTAACATGGGCTAGTGTCGGCTCATATACCCATTTACCTAACATCCTGTATACAGTGTGAGTCACGTTAAAGTGTACATATGTAAATAGATGAAACTAGACCTATTTTTATCGACAAAAAAGAGGTCAAAAATTTTTTGTGATTTTTTTTTAATATTTTATAGAATTTTTTTTCTTCCAATTACTTATTGTAAAGAAAACGTAATAACTTTTAAACTAAGCGGTATATCCTGATAAAATAAAAACAGTAATAATGCTAAATAACAGGCAATACTAAAAAAATACATAAAATACACAAAAAAGGCCAATAAATAATAAAAAATGATACTTTTTGAAAAAAATCTGCTTTAAAATACGTGTTTTTTTCGTTATTTGATAAATTTCTCCAAAAAATGCCTCTATAACAGGTGGTTTTTATTACTTTGTATTATTCTCCATCGTATTATCTTTGTAAAACCAAAAATCGCATGTCTCTATCCCTATCACAACATTTGCTATGATCGTTTGAACAAAGGCCTGCCACTACATTATTCTCCGCTACAGTTAGAAACAATTTTAATTTTAACTAAAATGCTTATTTTACTTCGAAATCTTTTGTTTTTATTTGAAATCTAACTTGTCTTTATCAAAATAACAAATCTAGAGCCATTTTCAGTTTCGTTGTTAACGAAGCGTTGAATGGCGCGCCCGGAGAGGCTTAGTTCAAACGATCATTGCAAACGTTGTGATAGGGATAGAGACATGCGATTTTTAGTTATACGAAGGTAATACGATAGAGAATAATACAAAGTAATAAAAACCACCTGTTATAGGGGCATTTTTTGGAGAAATTTATCAAATAACCAAAAAAACACGAATTTAAAAGCAGATTTTTTTCAAAAAGTATCATTTTTTATTATTTGTTGGCCTTTTTTGTGTATTTTATGTATGTTTTTAGTATCGCCTGTTATTTAGCATTATTACTGTTTTTATTTTATCAGGATATTCCGCTTAGTTTAAAAGTTATTACGTTTTCTTTACAATAAGTAATTGGAAGAAAAAAAATTATATAAAAAATAAAAAAAAAATCTCAAAAAATTTTTGACCTCTTTTTTGTCGATAAAAATAGGTCTAGTTTCATTTATTTTCATATGTACACTTTAACGTGACTCACACTGTATATTGATCACAAAATCTAAAAACTGTTTGTATGCGATTTCCGGTATCGCAAAAGTATTACGATAGAGAATAATACAAAGTAATAAAATTCACCTGATTTATAGGGGCANTATCGCAAAAGTATTACGATAGAGAATAATACAAAGTAATAAAATTCATCTGATTTATAGGGGCATGTTTGGAGAAATTTATCAAATAATAAAAAAAAACACGAATTTAAAAGCAGATTTTTTTCTAAAACAATTTTTTTCATCATTTGTTGGCATATTCTGGGTATTTATTGTATTTTTTAGTATCGCCTGTTTTTTAGCATTATTACTGTTTTTATTTTATCAGAATATACCTCTTAGTTTAAAAGTTATTACGTTTTCTTTACAATAATTCATATTCATATTTTTTTGGAATAGTACATTAGTAGAGCTACCTCCCCTATCAGTTTGATTCACCCATTCTGGGACACCCTGTATATTTTTTTAAATCTCATATGTTTTTTTACCTTTTTTGTCGATAAAAATAGGTCTAGTGTCACCTATTTTTTATATGTGCACTTTATCAAGACTCACACTGTACCTATATTAAAGGCAACAATACTCTCGGGTCAGTGGATAATAAATAATAATAGTCCTCGTAGTTCGTGAAACCAGTTTTTAATATAAGATCATCGCGTCTTTTTAAGATAAATTGAAATATTTCTACATGGTGAATTTTAGTTTCCAAATGAAAACAGACTTGAAATGTTTATTCAATTGTATCCTAGTATTACCACATTTTTTCTGTAGATATGGCAACTTTTTGCTGTTATCAAATGTTTTCATGATAATTTTCTATTACCATTACCGTTGCTATTTTCCAGGTACTGCATTGGCAATGGGCATATTTGTGAAGTGGCTCAAGGTGCACGACGGTTTACTTGGTATCATCGCCACCACCAGTAACCTGTTATCTGCTTTGACCTCCGGTCTCGCTCCAACAAGAGATTACTTCTTTGCTGGACCCGTCCTTGGTATATTTGGAGGGCCTGCGTCTACTGCGGTACGATCGCTCGGAACCAAAATTGTGCAACCAGATCAAGTTGGTATGTTTCTGTTATGATAGCTACAGAGTTACACAAAGATTTGCTCCCTAAGGACGTTTATATTTATCAGTCACTCATAAAATTATATGTTGTCAAAGTTACAAAGGTAATGCGATTGATAATAACACAAAATAATAAAAACTATCTGTTATGAGGCATTATTTGGAGAAATTTATCATATAACCAAAAAAACACGAATTAAAATGCAGATGTTTGTCAAAATGTATTTTTTTTTATTATTTGTTGCTATTTTCTGGATATTTATGTATTTTTAATATCACCTGTTATTTAGCATTATTATTACTGTTTTATTTTATCACGATATATCTCTTAGTATTAAAGTTATTACGTTTTCTTTACAATAAGTAATTGAAAGAAAAAAAATTCTATATTATATTTTTTTTTAAATCTCAGAAATTTTTCTACATTTTTTTCGTCAGTAAAAAAAAATAGGTCTAGTTTCTCCTATTTTCATATGTAAACTTTATCAAGACTCACACTGTATATTGATTAATTATTAGAATATTCAAGCCCAGTTTTCCATACATAAAGATACTTTTAACATCATAATGTGCCATGTAGTTCCAGCAGAACATAATAAGATTATCCCATTCTTCCCTACTACAAGTATGGAAACATAATGCCCCATTTTTATTTTTGTCCTTTAGTCGCCAGATCCCAATCTCGCCAATCCGTCTAGAGATTGAGAGGTAGGTAGGCCTAGGTCAAATCCTACAATTTTGCTTTTGGGAAACAAAACAGGGTATAAAGCTCCTGCAGTGGAGACTGATATGACTTGATGATGAAATGGTGATGAATATTATATTACATTTGATATAAATTAATATAATATTATCATTTGTGTTTGTAAAATATAATGATCATTTCTTTACAGGTAAAATGTGTTCCCTTATCGGCTTTGTTGAGGCGCTACTTCCTGTGATATACACGCCTTTGTATACAAAGATATATTCAAACACAATCAACACATTTCCAGGGGCGATTTATATTGTAGGGGCGATTATGACGGCCCCAGATATTATAATATTTGGGTAAGTTGTTGCTATTATAGCCTAAGCTAAGATACCTCATAGCCTAAGTCAAATGACGTACATCTTTTTAAACAATAAATAAAGCTGAAGATGTTGCTCTTTTTCTAAACTAAAAATGAATTAAGGTACAGCTCATTTCCTCGATAGCGATAGGTCATAATAACTAATAGTTAATAATTGTAAATAATTGCATCAGTTTTTTATTTTCAGTTCTTTCTACATTATGCATCGAAGACAGCAAAGAGATGCTGTTACACACCCAGAGGTGAAAGAGATGCATGTGTATGAAAACGACGTCACTGCTTTATAAAGTATTTTACATATTTTAAAATTTGATTTATAAAATAATATACATTATTTCAGTTGCCATAAAATACAATACATGCTACAGAATTTACTGTAGCATGTATTGTACCTAAGTTACCTAGTTTTAAGTTTTGTCAATGTATTTTATTGCAATAAATAAATAATAAATTGAACCTCATCGACTGTACGCCAATACCGCTGTGTGACCGTTGTTGAAGTCAGGGATGTTCCCTGGACCCAGGTCTTCCCTGAGGATATTCACAACACAACGGATTATTCCACTTTGTTCACCTGGGTGACATCACAATGCAAAAAGTCGCATCTATTCACATGGGTGAAATAATTCCTAGGTGAACAAAGGCAACTGCTTTAGCCAACCAATTCACCTGGGTGATATCACCCGGGTGTGAAATAGTTCCGAGGGAAATGAGGACACTAAACAATCTACTTTGTTCACCCGGGTGATATCAACCAGATGAATTGGTTGGCTAAAGTGGAATAATTCGTTCACAACGACCGGTGCTGCGTTTCCCGCATCCAGATGCTTTCCGCGACTTTCAATAGATCGTCGGTCTACCAATCGGTCGGTATTCCAATCCACTTTTATATTTCCGCCTATATTTTGTATTTACTAAAGAACGATTTTAACTCCCTATTAGGTACTGAAAGATTGTTGATAGTTCCCTAAACCGTCTTGGCAAAGATGATGATGATGACATTAAGAGAATTTTCTCATAAAAAACTCATGAAACTCATTTATTTTTGCAAATAGTCTTTTAAAAAGCACTTTTACACGTCCTGGTATCCCTCCACTGCTTCGGGACAATAAATGGGCCAGTGCTGAGAAGAAGCAGCGCAAGAAACTCAGTCACTATTGTCAGCCTCCTTTTTAAGAGTTTACAGTCTTTAAAATCTACAAATTATAGTCATAAGTATTTGAGATTTAAATTTGTCTTTCTGGGATGCAGTGACTGGTCTATATTCTATTTCCTTGCTCGATGGCACAAAATGGTGTTGAAATGACGCTATTTGACCGCAATGATCAGAATTAACAAAATTTATTATTGATTTCTCTAGCACTAAGCAGTTACAGAATATATTGTCTAAGCAAGTAGCTGATGTTGGAGTCACCCTAGTTGGTTCAGAGAAAAGATTTAACAAGTTAAAAGATTTGAATAAATTTAAAAACCGTATTGAAAGAGAGGAATCTTCTATTATATTGATATTAAAGTCTCCACATACAACTACTTTCTTTGAACTATTACACACTCTTCTAAGTACCTCTTCCATTGTGGTTTCAAATAATTCATAGTTACTAGATGGGGGTCTATATACACATACAATAACATAGTCGTCCAGTTCTGCACATGACAGCTCAATAGTTCGCTCAACAGAGAGAGATACAATATCTTTATATACATAAGCATAAAGAGAAAATAGGTCCAAGGTGTTAAAGTTAAACGATCTCAAAGATAGCTGTTAAGTATTGCTAAAATAAGACTGCCAAAACAAGGAACCTAGAATAAGAAAAAGTTTATGTTATAAAAGTTGATTATTTAAATATTTTATGAAAACCCATATTACTTAAAGTTAGATAACATACCTAAGTAAATGCAGAATAAATAATAGTGTTTTAATTTACCCCAAATTCCTATTTATTTGAATTTTACTGATGTCTATCTCTTACTTTACCTATATGCTATAATTATTAGACAAGTGCATGCCAATTGCCAATATTGAGAACTTCTGTGCCAGTATAGGATTTTATATAGTCGTTCGGATTTATGTGTAAAATGTTCTGTTCACTTAAAACTATTCATTAATTGAAAAAAGGTTTTTAAAACACAAATGAGTGTATTAACTTTTAATTCTGTCACAAATTTCGTCTACAAGCTGTTGTAAATAACATTTTGTGGTAATTTCATTTCAGATTAACGGGAAGCTCTCTCTTAAAGTGCCAATATTTGGGTAGTTTACCCTAGGTGAACGGCAAACTGATATCGCGAAATACTGGTGACTCAAAACTAACGATACGTAGAACAGACTTGTGCGATTGTGTAAGGTTGTTCATGGATGGACAATAAATACAATTGATCATCGATCGTTCACCTAAATTCGATTGTGTAATTTTGTCACCTAATGGTAACTTCATATTATAAAAAAATAAATATCGTTTTCAGTGCCAAGGGGAAGATTAATATCCCATGCACAGGTGGAGACCCTACTTAGCCTCTTAGAGGCCAACAGTGAAATTGCGCGTGGGCGCATGGTGGGGGCAAGCTTCATTATAAGTCTTATTATTCCTGTAACCTAATGGTAACTTCATATTATAAAAAAAAAAATTTTCGTTTTCAGTGCCAAGGGGAAGATTGGTGGAGGTGGAGACCCTACTTAGCCTCTTAGAGGCCAACAGTGAAATTGTGCATGGTGGGGGGTGCCTTAAGGCCTATTCAAACCTGAGCGATATTCGCTGCCGCTGTGGGTAGAGGTACATACCGCGCGGGTTTCGCTCAGGTATTTAGTATCAAGTACCGCGGCTAGAGCGTTTTCTCTGCCGCAGACGGTAGCGAATACCGCTTAGGTCTGAACAGTATTATTACCGCATACCCACTGGGTTTTCTCTGCCGCAGACGGTAGCGAATACCGCTTAGGTCTGAATAGGCCTTTACACAATCGCACTACAGTTCCACTATTTCCTCCTGAATTGTGGTCGGTGCACCAAAACAATACCAGTATTTTGCCGAGGACACAAAACAAAATTGAAGCGTGGCACAGACGCTGGAACTAGGGTTGCCAGGTGTCCGGATTATTTTATTTACTTTATTAGTGTAAGACAATAGTAGTTATTTAATTAAGTTATTTAGTTAAGTGGTTTAGGTATAGTTTAAGCTGAGTTTATTAATTAGGTTTAGTTATTTATTTAGGTAGATATATAGTAATTGTTTAAACTTAATTTATTTAATCTTTATTTTTAGGTATTAACTGCATTATTTTTTACGTAACTGGATCCTACCAGAGGCCAGTGGGAGTTGCTAAAAATATATCCAAAAAAATATGCAGTGTGTTTATTGAAGAGGTTACCGAAGCTCTAACACATAAAGACAGAATTTCAAAATACACTCGACATCAAATAAATTAATGCGAAAATCACTTTTAAACGTATGCATCCCCCACTTTCCACCTATATTGATACCATGTAACGTTGCAGCTCAGCTGTTTTTGTATACAGGGTGGAAACGATAAGTGATCTCACGCGATTATTTCTAAACTATACAAGATATCGAAAAACTGGTTACTGATCCTGAAAGTGCTTTACGAGCTCTTTCCAACGGTATAAGTAATAGGTTACAGAATCAACTGGATCTATCCGAAAATTCAATGTTTTCAGCCTCCATACTAAATGTATGCCAGCCACACAATATTAGAAGTGTTATTTTTTTATTAAATAATAAAAACTTAAATTGAACTCGTAAATTGCATTCTCATTTAAAATTATTCATGGAAAACATTGGTTTTAGGCTTTATTTGCTATATTATTATCACGACATGAGTGCCATGACTGTGGCAGTACTAAATGTATGGAAGCTGGAAACATTGAATTTTCGAATAGATCCAGTTTATTTTGTAACTTATTATTGGTACCGTTGGATAGAGCTCGTGAAGCACTTTCAGGATCAGTAACCAGTTTTTTGATATCTTGTATAGTTTTTAATATTATGTGGTTTTACGAAATGTATGGAAGCTGGAAACATTGTATTTTCGGATAGATCCAGTTAATTCTGTGACCTATTATTGGTACCGTTAGATAGAGCTCGTAAAGCACTTTCAGAATCAGTAACCACTTTATCGATATCTTGTATAGTTTAGAAATAATCGAATGAGATCACTTATCGTTTCCACCCTGTATATGGATCAGATTATTATTAGGGTTATGTTAATGTTTTTTTTTTGTAATGCTTCTGCCCTTTATTTATAAAAAGTATTTTCTTTTAGGTCCTCCAGGCCATCCTACGGCGATGACGCTGTATACAGTACAAGGAAATTTGTGTACAGTGAAATGTAAAGTCGCCCCAGAACATAAAGTCCATGCAAAGTTGTTGTTGTTAAAGTCAGTGGAATGCAACGATTGTGTTATTTGTAACTTCTCTAATTCCGTATTGAATATTATTTAATTTTGACTTCGCTGTATTGAGTTGTAAAAACAGACTAATTATATTTTTACGCGCCGAATATCGGTAAGACAAGACATGTTGAATTGTTGATACTAACAAAACCTACTAACACCAAAAATATATTTGTTTGCAATATTATCACACATGTTCTGATAAATAAAAATATCTTTATCTTGTGTTGCTTCCCAAGGCGGTCGTAAACACGCCATAGCATTCCTAATGTGGGTCCATCGCAGGAGTGAGGAGCCATCCTGCACATCAATTCAATGTTATTGGATGAAATCCAAACTTTCGATGATTGGTTCTACCATTAAATCTATAACAGCCAAAGAATTATCCCGTGGCAGTCCAAGCGTGCCATCAGATGAAGAAGTAATTAAAAAGTTTTTAGAGCAAGGGAAGAAAATAAAACCTAACAACCTAACGTGTTAATTAAATATCAATTTGACTATGTTTTTGACCAAAAACAAAGTTTGTCTATGTACAAGTTAGCGCTGAAATATAAGAAAGAAATAAAGTATTTATTTGATGCAAGTGTTAAAAGCATTACAATAAATAAAGAGACTTAGGCCTGCTTTACAAGGACAACTTGAAGCAGTTAGTGTCGGCAGCTTCAAGCTGCGGCTGCAAACTACGGAAACAGTTGTAACTGCTCGAGCAGTTCCGTGTATGTGTGTACTGTTACACCTTGAAAATGTTGGCTAAACTGCTGTATTGCCATCCTAACCTGCAGAGTCAGCATTTTCACGATGCAGCGAGCCTGAACCTCCAGTTCGGAGGCGCAGTTCAGACCGGGCATCCATACAGTAAGGACCTCTAACTTTCGGGCATTCAAAGTAGAGTCAATTCGGGTATCCAAATTAAATTTTGTGTTTAAAGTGAACGAATTTCGGTGAATAAAAATTAATTGTTTTTTTTTTTTAAAAAGACATTTTATTATCCCGTCATAACATTGGTGTCAGCGAGAAGGGATGTAAAAGTACATCTCAAGGACGTCTCCAAGTGT